AGGCCCTGTGATTTCGTTATTGTGGTACATTGTTCCAGAAATCCAGATTATCAGACCTCTACAATCTGAAGTGTTAGAGAGTTGCCTGAAGATCAGAAAGGTTGACTGATCTGCACATGATCGCACATGTAGCAAAATGTCAGCAGTGATTATTTGAACCCAGGTCTTCCTAATTCTAAGTACAGCACTCTAACCCCTATGTCATGCTCCCTTTCTCTAGGCTTTTGTAGTCACTCACTTTTAAATCTTTTGTAATGGGAAAAAGGCTCCATAATCTTGATTACTTTGCTCCCTTTGGGCTTTTTGTTTAGTGGTATCTTATTAGAAGAATAGTGACCACATCTACACACAACATTCTAGGTGCTAATGCAAGATGGTGCTATACAAGGAAAAGATTTAAACATTTGCATTTCAGTACAAGTAAAAAAAAAAACAGACCAAAGAAATAATATATAAGGATTGTTGGGAGGAAGCTATTCCTAATTGATAGGCAGCTATGCACTCAAAGTAAAAACACCATTCCCTGGACTTGATCCAGGCATAGAGAAGGTTGCTACCTTTGACCACAGCTGTAACTTTTTAAAAACTACCTTATCCTGTGTTCTGATTACTTTGTGTGTGTTCTTTTTATCTTTCCAAATAAAATATAGTTCCTTGAGGGCAGAAGCTATGCTTCATAAAGCTTCTCTTTCCCTATTTAGAACCCACCACAGTGATAGGCACATAACAAGAGCTCAACAAGTACACACTGATGGATGGATTCAGTGATGGAAAGTACTCAACTATAGGTATTCTTTAATACTCCATACAGACAGCCTACTAAATAATTAAATTCCACATATGGAACTCATGATTCTTCATTGACTTTCATTGTAAAATGGGGGAGACATTCACAGAAACTTTCCGATTATTCTTTAAGGAACTGGAATTTAATTAGTTGAAAACAGAGTGGTGCTGGTGAGTAAAGGAACCACAGAGATGGACATCAGCAGGATCTTAATCATTGTGAAGCATCATTCGATTAATCAACAAATAATTATTCAATGCCTGCTATTTGCCAATACCATGCTAGGTATTGGGGATATAAATATAAAAATGAGACAGTCCAAGCTCTCAGACACTGACATTTTATTGGATGGTATCAGTAGCATGGTATAACAACAAGTCAAGGGAATCTTGATGGCCTAAATGTGGGAGTAGTGCAGGGAATGGGAAAAAAAAAAAACAACTTCTCCAGTGTAGATGATACCTTCTGCTTCTCCTGCTTGTTGTTTTCATACCTGGCCAAGAAGTCAGAGAATGGGAAAAATAGAGCAAGTTGCTTCAACTTTGTGGTCAAAGGCCAACTGTTCTCCATTATTTCATTTTTCTTTTTCCCAAAAGGAAGTGTGTGGAATTAAGTGGGCAAAGTAGGAAAAAAGTAGTAACTGTATGAAGCATCTCCCTCCATAGGGAGAAGTAGATTTTTGTTGAAATAATTTAAAATAAATGTAACTTTTTCAGGTGGTGTGGAGGAGGAGAAGGGTAGGATTTTAAAAAATTATGTGATACAAAACAAAGACATCATTTTTTTTAAATTAAAGGAAAAGAAATGTAACAGATAAACATGTAGTTGGTTTACTCCTCATGTTTGGTTCTACAATGTTGAAATGTTCTACATAATAGTGTAAGGGTTTAGGTTTGCTTTTATTATTTATCTTGTGTGCTTATTTGACTTTTTGTTTTTCTTGATCATTAGTTTATTTTTTAGGTCCTGAGGTTTCATCAGAGTTGCCTGGGGAACTAAGTTAAGTGGCTTGTCTCTGGTCATACTATTGTGACATTGCTATTTCACTCACTTGGATGTGGTCAAGTAGTGAGTGTGGCCACCAAGAAAATTCTTAAGAAAACATGAATTAGAGGTAGTGCTTGAAACCAGGTCTTTCAGATTTCACTATGCCAGGCTGACTATCAATGTAGTTTATAATTAAAATAAATGTGATAGATCTCACATTCAAATCCCTGATTTATGAGTTGTATTAAAGCAAAAAATCCTCCTCTGATTTTATATCAAGTTACTGTATCATGAGTGATAATTTTAGAATAATTTCTAACTCTTGCAATCATTTCTGAGAACTGTATTTACTTTCTAAGGCTACTAGTATCTATTTAATAAAAATATAACCAAGTTGTGGTTTCATAAAATATTGGCTGATCCTCCCCATTTACCTTCATACTGATAGCCTACTAGCTATCATTTTCATACATTTTCAGGACAGGTAGAATTCTTAGCTTACTTCATATTCAAATCAGCTGATGTGCTACTTAATATTCAAAACCTTTTTTGATCTCCCAAGTTTTTCATGCTCTTTCCTTCTTACCTCTTATTTATTTGCCTACTTGCCAAATTCCTTTAATAGAATGCAAGTTCCCTGAGGACAAATACTCTTTCATTTCTGCTTTTAGATACTGAGCACCCAGACCAATGTCTTGCATTTACAAGGATTTGAGAAATACTCACTGAATTGGATTATGTTCTGAATCAACAATAGAAAGAATTCAATTCAATAGACATTTATTAAGGGGCACAAAAGAAGAAAATCAGGGAAATGGGGACCTTAGGTAAAGTGACCAGATGTCACAGTTTGGCTCAGGCAGTTGTGGTGTTGCCTGGATAGCTTAGAACTGAGTAGAATAAACCCTGTATTGGGGCTGACAAGGCCAGTGATACAGTTTTAAACAAATTGGGAAGTGTTAACTGGTTTTTCTAATTAACTAAAAAACAATTAAGTGTTTTCTATGTATGAGGCATTAAGTACTGGGAACATAATGATACCACATGGACACCACATAAATCTTGCTTTCAAAAAGTTTAGTTTAAAGAAGGAAAAACAATGCATATAAAATAAATACAATAAATATTGTGATAAGTGCAAAGGAGAATTTGAGACAAAGTGATATGAGAAATTTGAGCAGGAAGAGATCACTTTCAACTTGGAGAAGGGTGAGGGGCAAATCTGGGAAGGTACAAGGTAGAATAGGCACCTAAGTTGGGCTTTGAAGGAAAGAAATTTTGGCAGTAGGTACCTAAGAAAGCTTCAGAAGATTCTCTATGAAGCACCTGATATCATCTCAACTAAACTGCTTACGAGGTGGTCTGTAAAGTAACATCGACCTGGGGATGTGCTTCTTTCCAGGTTTGCAGTGGTAGGAAAGTCAATGTTTAAAGGGACTTTCTGGGCTGGAACTTTCTCTCTCTCCTTTCTTTCTAGCACAACTGAGGATCTAAGGTAGGCTATCCAGGCAAGGCCTTTTTCAGTCCAGCGATCAAACTAGAGGAAAGTTTTCTGATTCATAGCAAGAATATGACCTAGACAATTGTGGGGGAGAAGTAACTGATCCTAATTTCAAAGGATCATGGATCTTGGTGATCAACAAGTCTACCTTCATAGATGAGGACACTGAGATCTAGAAAACTTAAGTGAGTTGTTTTGAAATTATCATACTGGTAGGAAGTGGCAGATGGAGAATTTGAACCCAGGTCCTCTTAAAACAAATTCAGCCCTCCTTCCATTGCATAATGCTGATTCTCATGCCTTCCAGAAATGAGTGCAGGGGTGCAGCTGGAGGGAGCTTGACTATTAAATTTTTAGTATGAGCATTTATACCTTAGAAATTGGTAAACACTACAAGTCAAAGTTTGTCTTACTGTTTTGTTGATTTTCTAGACTTAAGAAAGCGATGGAGAAAAGGTTAATGGTACAGATTAAATTTAAAAGTGCCATGGGTACATTTTTAAGGTGGGGGCAGAGTTACTTGTTAAATACTTATGAGCACATGCTTATGGATAACCTAAGACCCTGGGGATACCTAAGCTGGGGAGGCCAAGCTTTCCTGATTGTGGACTGCCTCTCTGTGACCACTATTTCAGAAAGTGCTCCAGTCATGCTTATTTCAGCCCAGTTGCTATACTCTTTGGACTTTTCAACCTCCTCACTAGTTATCCTCTGTCCTTGGAAAAACCACTACCCTGAGGCCATGCTATCATATTCCTCTGAACTGCCATTTTAGAAAGGATCGCTGCCATATTAATTTCATTCTTGCTCAATTTACTCTCTAAACTTCTCTCCTAGCCAACCTCTTTTCCCTCATGTAGGCAGCATCTCTCCTTTCCAGCATCCCATGATATGTTCTCTTCTCCCATTAGAACAGAAACATTATGAAGCTTAGGACTCTTGTTGCTTGTATTTATGTCCCCAGGGCTTAGTACAGTGTTTGGCACATAGTAGGGACTTAATAAATGCTCTCTTCCCTCATCCCCACACTTGTCCCCACTGGTATGATATCTAGGGAAATGATGCAGGGCAGAAGAAGCAAATAGAAAATCATGATTATGACTACAGGAGAGCTACTAAATAGAAAACTGTGGATCCTATTAGGGTGACCCGCAAAAACTCTGACATTGGGCTGTGTTCTAAGTTACTCTAGTTATATATTTTCTTCAAAGAAACAGCCATTACTCCTCAAGTTGACAGTGGCTGCCTAGCCAATTTTAACAACACAATTTGTAAAACATTGCAGCTTCTTTTTTGTAGGCAAACATAATGCCATCTTTTCAATGAGTCCCATTGTAATTCACCTGTCTTTGAACCTTTCTTATTATATATCTCTATCCACATACTTTATACATACTTGAGCTTCACAATTTTAGAAATGTTTTTGCCTAAACAGTATTTAATCTGTTTGCCAACAGTTTCCAACTTGCAAGGTCAAATTTTTAGCTTCCACAAATAAATTTTCCCCTCAAAACAGATTATGTCAAGCTTCAGACAGTCAAAGAAAGTGATAAAATACAAAGTATAATACTTTATGTCCCATAAAATCTCATTTCTAAAACTAGGTCAGCTGATAGGTACACTAACTTGGAAGAAAAGATACGGACTTGTCTTTTGGAGGCTAGAAAGTAGTGAAATTACTTATGCAAAGGAAGTGAAAACAGTTTTCTTTTAAAAGTCTCTCACCCAGTTCCACGTCTTGATCATCTGTGAGCACAAGAATAATATTGGGTCTGATGTTTTTTCGTTCCTGCTGCACACGCCCTCTGAACCGTGGGGATTTGACAGTGGTGCAGAAATTTCCGAGCAATTCTGTACCCAGGACAGCCAAAACCAGAGTCCAGCAATAGGACTTCATTGTAGATGGATGTTTCAGTGTTGCAAAACAGACCAAATGCTTGTTTCTTGGGTCAGAGATCTGTAGAGTCAGAGAAAAAATGGGAAGAGGGAGAGGGAAAAGGAGAAAAAGGAGAGTAAAACAGAAACCCAAATATCAAAATGAACTTAACAGAAAAGTAGTAGAGATAAGTGAAAAACCGTCAAAGCAGCCAGGAGGTGACAAACTTACGCACTTTTTCTGCAGACTCGAATATTTTACAAGTTTACTTCCTTTATTTGTGTTCCAAATTGCCCCTTGACTATTTCAATTTCATTGCCAGCATACAATCTCCAGACAAGGCTTCACATGTTAATATGTTTTAGGACAGTAGTTAGTACCTTGAATTAAGTATTTGGGCTGAGTAATCAATTTCTGTGCTGCAGAGGTATATGGAACATCTGCCGATGGAGTCCTATCAGAGGAGAGAAAAAAAATATAAAGGAAATATCAGTCACAGACCTTGAGACAAGTTGTTCTGATCTGGAATAACCCTTCTGAATAGCCCACAACATGCCTTTTTTTTTTCCTCTTTCCAAACACGAAGAGAGAAAAACAGAAGGAAACAAAACATGGGACTGCTACCAATTATTTCAAACGGCATCTTACTATTCACACTCAGGCTCGAAGTTGATCATTAAAATTAAGAACCTTCAGGGTCATTATCCGTGCACGCATTTGTAACGATACTTCAAAAATCCTTAACAAAAGTAACATTAGACTCTAGTCTGTCAAATAACCGAGCATTTCATGTGAGTGAGTGGGAACGTGGGTGGGTGGGGGAGGTTGGGGAAGTAATGAGAAGTTGGAAGAGAAATAACTTACCTGTGTAAAATATAGAACCCCTTTCAAGCTGTATGGAAGGCATTGCTGTCATTTGTAATCTGCATTGGATCACTACCCAGGAGCTTCCTTTCTCCTGACAGAGAGTTCGTCTTAAGTGACTGTCAGTGAAGCCCTCCCCCAGCTCTGACTATGAGAGCTCCTAGCTGCCCCCCATCCATCAGAGGCAGAGCTGAGCGCACCGTCCCTCTGGTGAGCCGGGGTCCTCCCTCACTGGTCTCTCTTTTCCCGGGCTCGGCACCCGAGTGCCTATCAGAGCCCCTCTCCCGACTTGTCGGTCAAACAGCCTCACTATTGTGAAGCTCCATGCGCTGAGAACACGGAGCTTGGGCTTTGCGGCAGCACATGTAAACCGGCAACTGAAAATGATTGATTGGTCCGGGGACTAAAGGTTAGCCAGTACACTCTAAGGTTTTTTTTTTTTTTTTTTACCCTTTCTTTTGACTGAAGCCCCGCAAAGTCACTGCAAGTCTCCACTGGAGAAGGAAAAGAAAAAAAGAAAGAAACACACACACACACACACAAAACCAAGGCCAGAGAAATAAATGCCCTCCTACATTAGATCACTAACCTAAAACTGTCTCATTTTCTCTTCTATTACTAGAAAGTGGCAAAAGATCTCACTCAACTCCCCACTCCCCCATTTTTGAGGCCTATGAGAAAGTCTGTATGGGAATTACTGCGCCCTAAAATTAATTAGAAAGGAGCAGACTTCATCAGACACTGGACTCACACACCTGAGGCTCGGTGACTAGGCAGGCAGCGTTAGAGTAGCATTATACAAATAAGCATGGCTAATTAAATGGAAGCATTGCACTGTGGGAGGAAAGGACTCCACTGATTTCAGAGCGCCACAGAAAGTTCCATATTTTCAGAAAGGTAAAGTGGGGGACAAGGTGATGGGGAAAAATACTGTATGCTGTTTAGTCCTGGCCATACACATAATTTTGGCTTTCACACATACACACCCCTATTATTTTAAGCTTTATGAGATGTTTTATAAACAACACTAATGCTCTTCACTCCACAGCCTCCAATTACTTTGTGTATGTGTATATGAGAGAAAAAGTAAACAAAAATCCCAGTGTCTCTAGCACGGAAATCCTGACTGATTGTCTATCAAGCAGCATTCCATTTCAGACTGACCCTATGCCCAGGCAGAAGTCAGTATACAAGATTCAGCATGTCATCTCCAGGGCTTTTGTGGAAGTTAAAGGGCATTCTCAGTATGAAAAGTCTGCAATTAGTCTGCCCTAATGATTTATTGTGCATTCATTTCTGTGCATTTATTTAAAGTTACAGATTTGAAAGAACAAGAAAACAGGAGGAGTAAGGAAAATGTAGGGATGAGATGGCATTTAAGTTCCTTTCATTTCTATACCAATGCTTCTATGATCTTATTAAGATGCGAGATTGAGCTTTTTCACACAAAGGGGTAGGTGGATCAGCTTAAAAAGGCAAAAAATGAGTTTCATTTAATGGCTGCTCCTCAAACATCACTAATAATAATAACTGACAATTTAAAGTTTCAAAACTGCTTTGCATGCATTATTTTACTTTAGTCTTGCAATAACTTATGAGGTTGATGGATACTGTAGGCATTAGTATCTCCATTTTATAGAGGGGGAAACTGAGACTCAGAGAATCTAAGTGGCTTGCCCATGGACACGTAGTATTAGAGGCAGAATTAGAAGTCAGATTTTCCTGATCAACACTCTTCTCTGTCACCCATGATGCCTCTTAACAAAATTTGGTTCCCTACAAAATCTGAAAGGAGGTGTGGGAAGTGAGGCTGGATGTGAATTTCTTATACCGGTCACAGTGGTACATCAAACTTTGCAGATACTCTCAATACAGAAATTCCAGCCATCATCACTCTACTGAGCAGTGACATGAGCAACAGTTCAAAAATATTTCTGCCCCATATTGTGAAACTGAAATTTCCTGATAATTGTATCTCCATAAGAAAACAATTTGCACTAACCCAAAGCAAGCGATTAACAGTTATTCCTTATTTCATCTTATTAACTTTAGTCCTTTAGGGAATTAGCCCTGGCTTCTCAGTGTATACAACACATTAATAAACCTTTCTTAAGAAAGGAAAGGGGGATAACATTGCCTTTGCTAAGATGCATTGCTTTTTGACAATTTAGTTCCTTTTCCTTTTGAGGCACAAAAAGTATTGTAATTATTCTGTCTTAATTTGTTAATTATTTCAGTAATGCATTTATAAAAACAGAGCAATGGGATTACAAAAAAAAAGATTAATCATCCATCCATACTGGTTGAATCAAACTTTTTTTTTTTTTAGCTCCACCAAACACACACAAAACCCCTTACAAGAATCTACAGACAATTCTTTATTTAAAAATGACCTTTTAAAACCTGTCATCCTCTCACAGCCTGGTTTCTAGAACTTAAAGGAAATGAAGTAAAGAAGAAAACAGACAAAATGCAGGACTTGACAGAAGAGACAAGGATGCAATGTTTGCGTTGGATACTTTGTGGTGGACTACAAGTGTCCTTAGAGACATCACAATTTGTCTAGAGACATAATAGAAAATGAGAGAAATTAAAGAAGAAACTTTTCTCACACATGGAAATTGAGCTTAGGGAACTATGTTCTATCCAAGAATCAGGATTTGAATACAAGTAGCCTTTATCCAAGCCATTGAACAAAAACCTCAAATGCAGTTCCCAGCCAGCCACTATATGGAAAGTTTAATTGGTTCTTTGTATAGGACAGCCAAGGAGAAATGTAAATGTGTCATTAAATGTTTCAAGACACATAAAAAAGAATGGAGGGTATGGATACCTAGCCAACGGGGAATGGAGGGGGGTATAGTTTACATATGCTTGTCTTGTACAGCAGAACCCAAGTGTAACACCTCATCACTGCCATCAGAATGCATGGGGTCTATAGCCTGCCTGATCCAGGCTGTCCTACTTGTTGAGCCATCAGGTTCGAGGGATGCAGAATAATGTCTGAAGTTGATTGGATACTGACTTTTCTCTGACCTTGTTGGTGGTTATACAGAGGACATCAGTCCGTAGGACTCTGGGTATGGACTGATTTGCAAGTTTAACATTCATTTTTTAAAACTCTTCCAACTTCCCTATTACTACAGTGGGCAACATCATGTGCCATGCCTCAGTCTCATAACCTGGGTGACATCCTTGACTCCTAACTATCACTCATTCCTAGAGGCCTGCCAATTTCACCCTGTTCATATCTGTCCAGTACGCCCCCTTCTCTCATCTGACATCGATACCGCTCTGGCGCAGGCCCTCATCACTTCAAGCCTGGACTATTTGAATAGTCCAGTGAGGGGTCTGCCTGCCTCAAGTCCCTACCCACTTCAATCTACCCTGCATTCAGCCACTAAATTGACGGTCCAAACCACATCACTGTCCCACTCCAGTGTCTCCATATTGTCTCCAGGATCAAGGAGTTTCCTTATTGTCGGAAATAAAATGTGAATTTTTGGGAGTTTTGCAGAAGCCACAAACAACATGCAAAGGCCAGCAGATGATGCAGAAAAAGTTTAGAAACTCAGAAATGCATAAAATATATGTATAGTATTGCATAATGTCAACGTATTTTATCTTTTAATACCATAATAATTCAGACTTCTTCTCTGGTGTGAAGTAAGGGCCAAAAAAATTTATGTGGATTTTCCAGGTCACAGCACCATGGTGTGGAAGCCACTTCAGTGGCTCTGTGATCTCATTGACATAGGTACTCCCTCAATTATTCAAAGTATAGCCCATCCATCTCTATCTGTCCTACATGACCCTTGTCCATATCTTCTTATAAATGTACCATGGGGATCTACTCACCAGGCTGAGGTGGGGTCCTGCCTATTGTTTTTGACATCATGAGGCTATCAAAGGAGGACATGGGTTCCATTAACCACAAAGATGATGTATACATATTTGCTATTTTGTGTTTTTAATCTAAGGATAACACAAAACTACAAATTGAACCCCATGCACCTATCTCAAGTATGAGAAAGACAGAGTCAGTGTCACCTTAATGGTTATTGAGATGTTCCCCTACTCAGGGCAGAGGTGCTATTTAACAGCAAAAGACAAAGCCAGACAACAATTAGGATCTGAAGAAGAGCCGAGGAGCCAATTGAAATTGCAGGGAGACTTTGGGTCAGCAGAATCCAATTATTCACAATAAATTTTGTCAGGACTCCATAAGTTTAATCTCAGAACTATGTAAAGGAGAATACAAGCATCAAACAGTGGTTCTGACCCTTATTTTTCTCCCCTGCTCATGTCTCTTCTTGGTGTCTATTTGTGCAGGCTTTCTTTCTTAGACTTAAGCTTTAAGGTTCTCATTTACAATTTGTTTTCTGGGGAGGTGGCTTTGAGGATGAAACCACTCTTTTAAAAAGATCATCTATAAAAGGTCCTTTTTTCTTTCCTTGGAATCTCATAGCTGGCAAAGAAAGACAACATACACTCAATCCAAGAAATGTCTATGTCCCAAGTTAATTCATCAAAATTCCAAGCAAAGAAGATAGACTCCATCTGTTTCCTTCTAGGACAATAATATTTTCA